GAAATACAATAAATTAAAAATTTGTATGTGTATGAATATTTGTTTCGCCCCCACTGTATTTAACCAAAATGAGAGCAATCCTTGGGTTTGATAGTGCTGAAAGTTATATATTTTGGTTCAGGGAAATGAATAGATCAAACAGCACAAAAGTGAATAAGACTGGTAAGTACTAATTGATACAAAATATTTTCTAATCATGGAAAGTGGAATAAGAAGAATCTACATGCCATTGATTAAACAAAGGGTTCAGTATGAAATTTCAAGAAGTTTACTAAATGTTGTGGTAGGATCCACCTAATTTGCATAGTGGAGTACCGACCATATAAATATGGTTGGTACCGGGAAGAGAGTGGGAATCAAGAGATTCAACCAGAGACTCTGCCCGACTGTGACTCAGTCAACACATTCTCCAGGAACGGTCTTACCAGGAATATACAAAAGACTATATGTAAATATTGTGTACACTTTCTTGTTTCAGTACATTTTGTGTTGCATTATTATTCCATGCATTAGTCAAGTTTCAACACTAAGTATAAAAACAGATGCCTGAAGACAGTCAGAAGTTACAATGGCCGAAAAGTGTTGTGAGTATAACAATTAAGATGAAGACACTGGTCTGATTAGTGAAGTATCTAATAACAGTTTTTAGAGGTAATATAGTATTAAATATTTCATGAAAATAAATACTGAAAAGAATGACCTGCCATTCCATAGAGGTGTATTCAAAGATGGAATGGTTGGATTTTCAAAGTTAAGCCAAAACTCATGATTGTTATAAATTCCAGACCTTGGAAAAAAATATTCGGAGATACAGAGTTGAAAAGAAATAGTTCATGCATAAAGAAATAGTTCATGCATAAAGTATGTCAACTTAAAAAATGCAGACTTAATAATGAAATAAAGTAAAATGTTGCAAATGCAGTTATTTAAAGAGTATTTTGTTTTTCTGAATGACTAATATTCCAAATAAATTTCACAGTACAAGTACCAAGCAGAAGTGACACACATATTTTATACTGCTGTTTAAGTTCCCAATTGGCAAATCAACAACTTACATTTAACAACAATATTTGAATATGACACTAACTATGCTCATCTTCATTTGTCCAAAATTAGAGTGGTAGGGTTAATTTGTAAATGTTCTCCTAAACATTTTGATGGAGGAGATTTGAAACCATTTGTAATACAATTCTATTGGATTTCTCTATAAATCCATAAAAATACACTAAATATTGGCAGTGTCAATAGTTTTATTAAAACAGATAACCTAGAAATTGAATTGTGCATTTCTCACATTTAAAATAATTAACTTTATACTAAATATGTTACAAATTTAATATGATAATGATGTAAAAGTTCCCAATATCATTTTTCCCAATGTTAGGGAAATCTTAGAAGTGTCTTACTCTGCCATTTATTACTTGCACAAACAGCTAAGTGTAATATGTCATAAATTTTAGAAAAATGCACAAGCTAGATACATGGTTATAACTGAGGATAGATAAATAAAATTCCTGCCATAAATTGAGTTAAACAAGAAAATAATAATGTAATTAACTTATTCAATCAGTAGTAATGATAAAACATGAAACTATTCAATTAGAGGAAGGGACAAAGGTCTAAATCTCTGATTTACTACCAAACACAAATGCTGTAATATACAACCTAAACTTATTGCAGCCTGGAATCCTCATTAATTGTGACGAATTTGGGGTTCATTGAAGGAGCATTCACATTGAAGTCTCCATCAGATAAGTTTTCTCATCTGTCAATCGTTTCCGCACACTAATGCTACTGACTTCTATCATCATGATTTCTCAAGACCCCATTGTCAATGAGGTTTGAGGCCTTCAGCATTATCTCAGCTAACATCATTGAATGTCTCACTGGCACCAAGCAAGATCTCTTGGCAGACCTGTGTATCCAATATAGATGTGACATTCTATGTCTTCAAGAGACACACCTTGGCCCTACTAGCATTCACCCACAAATTCCTGGCACGACCCTTATTGCTGAAAGACTTTATGACCAGTATAGAAGTGTGATTTTCATTTGTGATTGTCTATCATCTAACAAGTCATCCATGACACATACAAATGACATAGAAGTCCTCTCCATCATGGGAATATCAGTGAGCTCTGTCAACAAACCACCAATGACAATATTTGACATTCAGCCTGATGTAACCGATGACCTTATCAATGTAGTCACAGGTGACTTTAACAGGCTCCATATCACCTGGGGTTATGCTGAAACTAACAAAGATGGTGATCTCCTAGAGAACTAGGCTGACACAAATAAACTGTCATTCATTCATGATGTAAAGCTACCTCCATCCTCCAACTGACACCTTGGAATTTGGTGATACTCTGACCAACTCTATCATGGAACACAGACAGAAGAAGTGGAGTTGATTGAAAGTACAGACATGACACATAGAAGCAAGAAAGCTTGAAAGACTATACAAATATTGGGAGATGATTGCACAAAGTCCGAGCCAAGATCTCAAGCTACAAACGATTAGGTTGCTCACCAGCTACTATGCAACAACTTGGGTAACTCAGATCACCATCCTGAGAGACCAAATTTGCGCAAGATACCAGACATGCCCAGCCAAGAATTCTCTGGTTTCACAAGGACCTTCACAAGAAATAAATTAGATGCGACAATAAAAGCCATGAAAAGCTACAAGGCTGCAGAACTCGACAACATCTATGTTAAGCAGATTAAGCATCTGAGCCCAGTTACCCTCTTATGGCAACTTGAAATGCTCAAACTCAAAAAATATCCTAAATATATGGAGAAAAGCTAAAGTAATAGTACTTCTGGAACTTGGTAAAATCCTGTTAGCCCCACAGAATGCAGATAGATATTTTATAGAAAAAAATGTATCTTATAAGCAGCAAAATATGGTAAATACCTACTTGGGAACTTATGCTATTGGGAAGGTCATTGATAAAGATAAGAAACAACATAGGTCCAAGGATAGAGATCTGAAATGATCTAGAAGCATGTCCGTTCAGCATAATGTTCATTATACGATTTGTTAAAAATGACTTAAGCCAAATATTCATATGTCATATCACTAAAATTTGATTTGAGTATTTGCAAGATATTTTTCAAACTCATGAATTTAAAATATATCTTTTCTACTTTATCAATATAATTGACTTTGAAATAATCAGAAACCTCTGAAATGTAATCCATCACTCAATATGGTTTGCTACAATCAGTAAATCTTGTAATGAGAAAACTAAACATCACCACTTTTTGTGTTTACTTATTTTTTTGGAGAAAGATATTTTTAATTATCAAAGCCTGGTCATGTCTCTAGGCCAGGAAAATTAATTACCATTTTTATGGCATATAAGACTTCCCCACCCCAACCAAATGGCTCAACAATATATCCTAAGTTTTAAATTTGAAGTCTCTGGTAGGCTAATTTTTACCCAGATTCCATAGACCAGTGTTTCTCAACCTTTTTAAGTAATGGCATACCTGGGAGCAAATGAAAATATCATGACACACTTATGCACATAGCAAAATTTTTAATGAGTATTTTAAAAAATATTAAAACAAAGTATTTAAAATAACATAATCAAACTATAGTGAAAAGAATTATTTGAAAAAAAGTTTAATATTTATTCATTTATTTAAATACTAATGTTGTACCATATAAATAGTATGAAGATTGAAAAAACAAGAAATTAATGATGCTTTTTGTTGTTTGTTTATGATGGAATACATAATTTAGTAAGTTCAGGGAAATCCAAGTAAAACATTTTAATGACTGAATAATAATGCTAAGAATTTATATGATTAAAGATGCAACAAACAATCATGAAACTGGTCTAGTGAATTCTCTTACATATTTTTCAGATTTATTGCCTTTAGACTATCACTTGTTTTGCTCCATGCAAACACTTCTTTTCTGGTCAGCACATTTTTTATAAAAATGATTACAAAACCTAAAATAATTTTAAAAGAATTACAGTTACATTTTAATAAATAAATTTAGTTATGTTTATTATTCTATAGCTTTTAAAATTTAAAAAAATTCCTGCAATTATTTCTTTTTAAGAAAATTTTAACAAAAATTTAAAGGCAAGCTCCTTCAATTGAACCTAAACAAGAGGAAGGTGTGAGTCTATGTATTGTAAGGAGGATAAAAATAATCTAAATCAGGAGTGGGAAAACTGCAGCATGCTGGGTGATTTTATGTAGCTCACAAGAGCATAATAAACATTATTTTTTAAATGCTTATTATTAAAGCAAAATGGCATTTTTTGGTCACATGTTGCACAAAATAGCCACCTATTCAAAATAGAGAGAAAGAGAACAAAGCTGATATATTTAATAGCTAACCCCAGTTCTCAGGAAACTCAATTCCTAGAAAATCAAGATTATGTACTACCATAGGTACCTTGATTGCTATGTCCCAAATTGTGCTGGTGTCAAATCCCTATTATCAGTACAGTGTAAACTGACATAGCGATCTAGGTGCCTGTGTACACTTCAATTTCAAGAAATATATGTCATTTCTCTGCTTTACTATAAACATCTCACAAGCTTTATCAAGAATTTCTTATTATTTTAAAATCTTTTTCTCAGCTGCACAAATCTCATTAATAGTAATAAATGTATTAAACTAATGTTTAATACATTTATTACTATTAATGAGATTTGTGCAGCCCATTTTATGCAAAGCCAACAATGATGCAGCCCTTCAAGAAAAAAAAGTTTCTCTAGCCCTGATCTAAATGATAATTATGATCACCTTGATGGATTGAAACAATTAAACAGGTACTGAATTTTCCCCTGTGAAAAAAGAATTCCTCACTCTAATGAATTGAAAACTAAAAGCAAACTAATCACCAACTCATTTCAAATTATCAAAACTAACCTAACATCACTATACGCACACAGCCCTATTAGACTCCATATCCTGAAGGTTGCTGATTATGAGACAAATAACTATAAGCAATAATAATAATACTCACACATCATAGGCATTGAGCAGCCAGTTGAGGCTGAGATCAACACACACAGGGACATTGACCAAATCAGGATGTATATCATGAATTCTTTCATACATTGAATTCAAACAATTGATGATTTCAATAACATCAATTAACTTGTCATTGTCCTCCTTTAGACTATGCTGATCAAATGAATCCACTGCCATACTCATTTCCAAAAGATCCACTGTAGAAAAAGGAAAATTAAAACAAAACGACATTAAAAAAATGAAGATGAAATGAATTTCAATTAAAGTACAATTATGTTAAATATTCTAGGGTTGTTGCTGACAGTTTCATATTTAACCATTCTCTTTTGTTAAAGAAGACCTGATATATTAATGCATTCACATATACAAAATCAGATTGATATATAAATTCCTTAGAGGAACTGAAAATTAGTCAAAATTTATGATCCCTCAAAACATCATAGAAATTTATTTTTAAAATATGAAATTTTTAAAATTTCTATTTATTTCTTAATTTGTTTCTAAAATATCATTAAATTCAACAGGAATCCCCAAATACTGCATATTCTAATAATATTCAAAATTAATAAATTTTCAATATCATTCAAAAATAATATTAAAATTCATAATGAAAATATAAAACTTATTGAAATGTTAAAATACATAATTTTGAAATTGGAATGCATCTAAAATTTATAAGGGAAGTTGAATAGTTCTTGGTTCAATCCAGAAGTGATATAAAACATATTCTGATATTTGGTCAGACTTTGTTAGGTGGGTTGGGACTGAGAACTTTTCATCATCCCTTACTGAGATAAAATATATATTAATTATATACTGAATAATATTTTTTTTTTTTTTGCTAATATATTTGCACTAATGTTAAAATGATTTGATTTTGCACACATTATAGGAGTCATATTGAACAGCAATTTTATTACATACCTATTAATTCTATATTTTATAATTATATCTATCAGTAAGGATAAAAAATATTATGAAATAAATTGACAAAATTCTTCAAATTCTGCAAGAACAAATTGTTTCATTTTAAAAAAATAATTTTTCATATATTTTATTCTAATCATCTATTTGTAAGAAATTCAGAAAAATATATATTAATGAAATTTGTCATTAAGTCATTTCAAGTTTATCTTTAATTTAATATCAGGTCATCCCATAAGTTCTGTCCGAATTTTGAATAAAGAAAACAAGTAACCAAATGTTACATTTAATTACAAATTCAATCAACAATGTATTTTCCCTGATTATCTATGACTTCCAAGTTTAGGAACTTTTCCAAGTTGTTGAAGATGACGATGAACAGTTGTATGGTTTGAACTGAGAACCACTGCCAATTCCTCAACTGATAAAGCAGGATTTTCTTCAAGGGCTGTTTCAAGAAGCTTTTCATCAAACTCAACTGGATGTCCGGTTCGATCATCTTCAAGGGTGAAATCTCCACCTCTGAATTTTGCAAACCATCTTCTGCAAGTTCTTTCATTCACACATTCCTCTCCATAAACTGAGTGAATGTTTCTAGCCACTTCGGCTGCTGAGTTTCCTTTCTTGAACTCATAAAGCATTATGTGCCTAAAATGATTCTTGGGTACTTCCATGTTAGCAAGGTTTTAATCAAACAAAACTTAATTTTATTGTTCTCTGAAATAAAATTTGATCAGTTTAAATGCATCTAAACATAAAAATAATGTTCAGCTCCATTAGACATTATAAAATACTCTTTAAATTTCGTTCATTTTAACAAAAAGTTAAAATTCGGACAGAACTTATGGGATGACCTGATAAATACATTTTTCTTTTCTCTTTTTTCATATATATTGTTAAAAATAAACAAATAAAATACACTGACAAATCATTGCCCAACCATATTAACATACTACAATAGTTGTCAGTAAAATTAAAAATTATGTTCTTTATTCTATGGCTGACATATAATTGTAGTGTCTCAATAATCTATCAGCTTATGGGACTTGATTTTACATAGTCTAGGTGTATAAATATTATGTGAATGTATATATACAGAAATAAACCTGATTCCCCAAAAGATTGAAATCAGATTTATTTAAATTCTGTGTGCAATTTGTTTGGTGCAGATTTCAATAGATGTGAGTTAAAGAAGCAATCAAAATAAGTTTCCAAATGATATCAAGGAGATAAATAAGAAAGGCTGAAACTATATTGCATATTTACTTTTCCCTGAATAACTGCAGAGCATTGAAGTCTGCATGACAACTAACCATGGCGTGAAGTGAACTCTGTGACATCAGGCTTGCAATTGTGTAAGCTTGGATTGATCAACCATTCAGAAAAATCTCTGGTTGATCAACAAGGCAGAAATCCATTCAATATCTCTGTGACACCTCAAGAGAGAAAGTACTAAAATTTATCAAGTCTCTGTGTATCACTGTCAAGACTTTAGAAAAGATTAAAATAAGTGGAATTTATCAACACAAAGTAAATGTTCAGAGAATAGCAGAAAAGCATCAGAAACTCACTGCATAGCTTTTTTTGTAAGAGTCGCAGTTTCATGGCAGTGCGGTAGGCAGCAAAACGAATATTGTTAAAGTCAGCTGAAAAGAAATGGAAAATACTGTTACATTCAAATTGAAAGATTTAGGGAGAATTATATATATATATATATATATATATATATATATATATATATAAAAATAATAAAGAATCCTTAAAAACCCATTGCTCTGTTCTTATATGGAGCTCTCCTTGGATTTATATCCTCCTTGAAATTATCCCCACTAATCATCAAGTGATGTGATATTTTATATATATATATATATATATATATAATGATATTTTTATTAAAAACATCTTACATTGCGACACGGAAATTTCCATGTTTCAAAAAAGTTTTTATCTTGTCATCAGGTAATTTTTGTTAAGTTTTGTGAAAATGATTTACATTTGAAAATAGAAAACAATGTCTGCTTAGTAAAGAGTTAATACAGAGGTGGGGGGGGATACAGATTTTTAGATCTTATGGGTGCATCAATTTTAACTCGTCAGAAAGAAGCTCAACACTAAATTTGAAAAGCTAAAAATATAGGTTAGATGTTGGGGATGTATGGTATTCATACATGTCTTGGGGAACTGTCATAAAAATGGCTCAACACCTTCCGGCAAAAAGTTAAGTTACAAAGAAATATTCTTAGAGATATGTATATCCCTGACAATGGGTTAATTTTTTTTTTGTTTTTTTTAAAAATCATTTTAATATATATTTTAAAACTATCTTAAAGGGACTTCTGGTATGATTAAAACATTTTTATATATTTTTGAACCAAAATAAAATTCTTATTTTATTCATTATATCTTAATACATAGCAATTTAAAATTAAAAATCAAAGAATTAAATTAATATTACATTTACCATAATATATAATAAAATAATGGATATATAATTGTAATGCATAGACCTTTATGAAAATTCTTATATATATTTTAAGATGAACATTTTACAATGTCTACATGTGACTAAGCTCATTTTGCTGATTTAATAGATCATTATTTTTAAGAAACTTAATAATGTATAGCTTTTCATGTAGACACAGGGGGCATGAGTCATTTAAGAACTTACATATTCTCGTGTTTTATTTATTACTTTCCATTTTATTGTAGGGGTTTTATTGATTTCTTTTGAATAACAAAAATATTTAGATAGGGATGTTTGGTTACAGTACATGTCGTTAAAGGAAGAATTATGCTGGTACCTTCTTAATTTAAAAGACTTTTTTGTGCTACCAATATAAATTTTTTTAATACCTGTGTTTTCAGTTGATGAAATAGTGCATTGATAAACAATAGATTCAGTATGGCATTTATTTTCCAATGGACACTTTATAGGGTTTCTACAATTATATACTTCATTATTAAAATTATTGATTTCTGTTTTGGAATTAGTCTTATTTTTATTTAGGTTTAAATGTTTACTTAAAATTTTACTATGTCTTTTATAATTTTTTCTAGATTGTCAGTACAACTATAACTTAATTTTAGCATATTTTTATTGAAAATCTTGCTTAGCGGATTAATACTGGGAAAATGTTTCTCAGTCAAAGCAAGAAAATTTGCCCTAACTTATAGCTAGCCATTTGGTTAAACAGGAGTGTGTATGAAATGATTTTTTTTATTTCTATTTTAACTAAATAAAAATTCAACTAAATAAAAAGTGAACATTCAAGTCAACACCGAGCATCGACAGATTGTTTCGTACTTATAAAATTGGCATGAATTTTCCGGAAAACCCAATATATGTGTGTGTGTATATATATATATATATATATATATATATATATGTGTGTGTGTGTGTGTGCACACTAATAAAAGATATATATTTAAACTGACTATAATACTCAAATAATTAAGATAGATAAATATTTCAAGTTTCATATTAACTGGAATGATACCATTCTAAATTGTAATATTTGTTTATTTATTTATCTTTAAATCTGAAAAATCATCAACTTTTTTGATGAATAATGAATTTTTACAAGAATTGTTTTCATTTTTTTAAAGATTTTAATTAGAATAATTTAAAAGTTTTAAATCTCTTCAAATTTTGTAGGTGATATTGTTATTAAGTATATGTACTAATCATAAAAAGAAAACCTTACTACAATTCAGTGACCACCAGTATTTTAAAAAGAATTTTTTGGGTATCTGTAGAAATGTGCTAATTTTTTAAAATATGGATGGCTATACATGACATTATCAGAAAATAAGAGCAATAACTATAGTAAATGTAAATCCAAAGTACTTAAAATTCAATAAAACATTAGATTACAGCAAATTTTTTCCTAAATTTTTGAGATTACTGGGTAGTTAAAAATTATATAATAAAGGCACTCATGTTATATTCCTCAAGTAATTTTTACAGATATGTCCCTCATAGAAAAAATTAGATAAACTTCTGGCTCTCACAGTTGTTTTGATTAGGTGTTGACAGCTGTCAACACCTAATCAAAAAAACAACTGTGTTAAAAATGCAATTGTGTGATATTTTAAACTAAAAGTAACATTTGTTTCAAATGAAATTAAACTTTAAATCAGCTAATATTCTTTAAATTAAGATTCAGAAAAGTATATTTTATTTTTAAAGATTTTTTTTAATATAGAGAATTACATTGTACTGAAAGATGGCTAAAGTCAACAATTTTTAGTCAATTTAAACTAGTTTCAAAATACAACAAAATATTTTGCTTATTGTCAATATTAAATTTAATCTATTAACTTGAAATTAAAACTAAAATAAAAGTTTCAGGAAAGGTTTTTCATTTTTAAAAATTCATTTTAAACCTTAGGTACCTACATATATATATATATATATTAATTATCATGTATGAACATTTATATATACATAAATATATCCTACATTTTTATCTCTCTTAATGATAATGTATAAAACATATTGTTGGTATATATCTAAGAAGTAGATTTTTGTATTAATATTTGCTTTTATACCAACATATGTCTCATGATACATATAGATATTTGTTGCATAAAAACAAATATTAATACGAGATATAAATCTTTGTTAGTTTTAAGATCCTTTATAAAGTTTAATCATTAGAGTCAAAATTTAATTGACACTTCCTCTAGTAATAGAAAAGAGAAAGAAAGTATGATAGAAGTTTGTACAATAAATCAACAAAAAATTCTTTTTATTGAATCCTTTCTGGCATTGCAAACAGCATGAATCTGGTATCAAATTTCAGAGGAATTGTTTTTGGTATTGAAACATGATTACTTTAAACAGTCAACTCTGCCTATCCCTAAGATATTTTTTGCATAAGGTTACTGTTGTGTATGATACACCTAATTTACATAAGTGGAGTACCGACCATATAAATATGGGTTGGTACCGGAAGACGACGGAAGATTAAGAGATCGAATCCAGAGACTCTGCCCGACTGCGACTTAGTCAACCCATTCTGCAGGAACAGTCTTCCCAAGAATATACCAAAACTACCTGTAAATATTGTGTACCTTTTTTCATTGTTTCAATACATTTTGTTACGTACATTTAGTGTTGTATTATTATTATTCCATGCTTATTCAAGCTTCAACAGTTACAAAGGTCAGTTTACAGCTAGCTACTAAGTGTGGACATTAAATGTCATTAATTATCTCTGTATAATTTTCTTGCAACAGACTAGTAGGGGCCTCACTTTAATCCCAGTTGGATATTGGTAAAAGGGAATAACTGTTGTGGAAAGAACATTATGCATATTGTTTAATGTGCATTTAATATTTAATGCTATATCTAGAAAGCCTACCTAAAACATTAAGGAGCTCTGTCATCTTTGGATGGTCCCAGTGAGTTGTTTCTGTAGCGTGGCTGGAAAGAGAAGAAAAGAACAGTAAATACTGCAATGTTTTATCCTCAGGCAACAATACAAACATCCAGTTTTTTCTTATAAGATGGTAACGAAAAAAGAAAGAAAAATTTTATGATTATGAATTCTGACAAAAACTATTTATATAATCAATCAATTCAATAATTTACTCAAAACCTAATTATTTCTTAAATAGCAGTAATATTTTTAATAATAACAATAAATTTACATCATTGCATGCAATGTTTTGTTGAATATAATAATCAATATTATATAGGTCTTACATGTGAAAGGAGTGCCTGAAGTGTCCTGAAAAATTGTTATCATTTTAATTAATATTTTCATTTAAAAATCTTCTGCTTTTGCTTTTTGTAAATTGTATAAAATCAATGTATCACAAATAATCCCAGAATACTCTAGATATAAAATGACATTTTCCTTAATTTTTTGGAATAAAGCTTGACATAGTACAGCAGAATAGTTTTTTTTTTATCAGTTTTTCATTTTTTTCTGTTACATTTGATGTATTAGGTAGGGTTCTAAATATAATGAAATATGTGAATAACCAAGTAATAAAATTTAAATTATACCACAAATAATTGTATAATAGGAGAAAACAAAATACATGATTTTGTAACTGAATTTGTAGGAAAATAAAAATATATATATATAAAATTTGAAATTATGACTAACTGAAGTTGAGCATTAATCACAACAAAGAAGATTTGGAAAATTTATAAACATTTTCATTTTCAAACTTTCAAATCCCTACATAAAAATATCATAAAAAATTTACTCATTGTCATAGAATAATTTTAGTAAATTGTTTTTAAAACTAATTAGGAAATACATTATTTTGTAAATTTTAATTTAAATAATCTTATTTCAGCATTTCATTTTAAAAATAGTTTACAATGGTTAAAATGTTTTTGATCAGTAACTTCTCCCCTATTTTCATATTAGGTACACTATGAAATAAAATACTGATCAATATCTTTCAAATGGATAGCTACATATGATACATTATTGTTTTGTTTGTTTTAACTACTCAAAGTATACTCAATCTATGTAAATATCCTTTTTCTTATAACATTGATTCATCATTATTCTAGAGAAAATAATAATATTCCAAAAAATTTAATATTAAACCAATAGAAAAATTAACATAGTAAATACATTGTCAAAATTTAAAATCTAATCAGAATATTTGGAATTTTGCAAAAAAGAAACAGCAAAATTTCAATTTTATTTCAACTGCCAACAAAATCCTTTTTTATATGATAGAATCATCAAATTGTATTGCTAGAAGATTGATTGCTTATTGACAAGAGTTCAAAGAGAAATTTGCCTATTTATATGACCATTATTTTTGCTGCACTTGTTTCAACAATAAACAAGAAACATATCACTTCTCTTGTTTAATCTCTCAACTTGTCACAAAATTTAACTTTCCTCTTAGCATATGCTAAAAAATTCTTTAAAACTTTTTGAAGATTTTTTCAACCATTCATATATAAAATATTTATTTTCCAATTGTTTAAAAATGTAGGACTTAAAATGAATGAATAAAATGTAAATTGAATTTTACATGTAAACTATTTTAAGTTTTCAAAATTATTAGTATAATTAAAATAACTATTTTTAATTGGTTCTTCAATCTTTTTTCTTTATCAAAACAAAGTTTAATGAAGTCAGTCTAATACAGGGCAATAAGTTTTCAAATAAGAGAGTGGTTTGAACAGAAATTTATAACCACCCTAAAAAAAATAACTACTTGAAAAAATAATTTTTCTAATTAATTCAGTTTTGTTTTTACATTTTAATCTGAATTTAAAACTATTTTTCTCCTTACAAATTTAAAAGAAAATTTTTTAATGATGTAAGTAATAATTTCAATAAAAATTATTTTTGAAATAAAATTATTTCATAGAAATGAAACAAACAAATGTCAATAAAAAAAAACCCAATAATAACAAATTCAAACCCCCAGCAAATCATTGTGTAAGTGAGGAAAAGTTTTTTTTAAAAGTATTTTCATGCTTTTTCAGTATTTTTAATTCTCATAAGATTTTTTCCTACTTACTTGATATAATAAGGCACTTTATTTACAGCTACAGATCTCTCCCAGGGAATTTCCACAGAAACTGAAAAGAAAGAATAATACAGTGTTGCTTGTAAAATATAAGAGAAAACTATTGCATTCATTATAAATGGCCCATATTTTATGCCTAAAGCTATATGAAGGTTGAGAGAAAGAGAGAAACAAAGAAAGAGGTTGAAAGAGTATAGCAGCTCACATCTGTGACACAATACCAGAATAGCATTGGCATGAATTACCATATTCTTCATATGGAGACAAGGAGATACTCAGAGACTGGTAATTTCCTTGCAAATGATAAAAATTGATTTTGCCTTCTGAACTAAGTGCAAATTGACCCAAAGAATTGGTTTTGTCTTGTGCATATTATGGGAAGCAGATATAAAACAAAAATTGCAAGTGTTGTTACTTACTTGTGAGAAAGTGTTGAGAATTAGGCCCAAAATCTCGCAAGGCATCTTGTAACTGTTTTAATCGATCCTCAATAGCCAACTGCAAGGCTTTCCACCTATGAAAGAACAATACAAAACACTTTGTAATTATAGCTATAACCAAGAAAGGTGTTATTGACAACTTAGTAACATGGTAGCAAACAATAAATAAACATATCCATAATTTGTAAAAGAAATGGTATATAAATGTATGAAACTTATTCATTTAAGAGAGAATCAATGTTTCTACTCATTCTAAAGAGAAAGTTTGCAAAGAAAATAGAATATTTTCAAAATACTTCAATGGTAGTCTCAGAATAAATAATGCAATTTATAAATCTGAAATAGTATTTTATCTAATTCATATAGATACACACATGTACATACAAATATAGAGACATATTTTCTGAAAATAAAAGATAATTGAGATGTTGCACAAAAGTTCAGTCTGTAAAATTCTCGTAATAAAAATGTGATTGATAATGAATTAATATTAAAGGACTCCTTATGTAAAATGTTAAAAGTGAACATTTGATAAATTCTGAACAATTTGATGATTTATGAACTTAAGAAAGCATGAACTGTTTTAAACTGGATATGTAGCGATTGAAGCCTTTTTAATGAAATTTAAAGTGTATTTACAGTTTAATTATAAATGTGATTTTTAAAAATTTGGCTATTGACAAAGAAAATTTTTTTTTAAACTATTTGGCTACTTTTCAAATATTAAACATTGTTATCCAATTAACCTTAGCCATGAAAATATAATTTCAAAAAGATGTGCTATTAGTATTAACAAAAATAGCCATTTGGAAAGTATGAAAACAAATATAAAAACAAATTCCCATAAAATAAAAAGTAGAAGTAAATATAACAAAATTCTCAATACAAAGGACAGAATACTCACTTTATAAAAGAACACAGTGGAAAATTAACTTCCAATACAAAACACTTCAAAATCATAACATTAACATTAATCAATAGTCATGATGATGATTTTTTATCATCATCATCATCTTATTTCAAGTACCTTGTATTAAAGTCTTCTAATTGCTGTATATTCCTGGAAGAAAGCACCACCTCAGATGCCTGAAGTTGGTTTGCCTGATCATTGACATTGTCTACTTGACCCTGAAGTGGAGCAATCCTTTGCTGGAAGGCCTGAAAATATATTCAAGTATAAGATATATTCATAAGCATCTTTTAATAGGTTAAATAAAAAAAATTAAATTAAAAGAAATGTATGACAAAAATTTTAAAATAAAATTTCAGAAGAAAAGTTAAAAATTACAATCACTATTGAATTAAATTCAATTGCAGTAAAATGTTTAGATTTATAAAATAAAATTAGCAATTTTTTTATGTTAACATATCAAATATGGAGAAAAATGAAGCATTAGTTCTGAGTTAAAAATAAATAAAGCAAAATATCTTGCAATGAAAAAAAATATAAGAGTCAAAATTAAAGGTGACTTTTCAAACAGTTTGGCTTGAAATAAACAAAAACAGAAATGTTAAAAAATAATTGGACCACATTTAGCCATTTTGATTTTGTATTGATAAAGTGAAATAGGTTCTGTTGATGAGATAAATATAAAAAAGTGCACAGTAACTGCTTTTGCCATGGATTTGAATAAATTTTACTTTTTATATAATCATTAGTTCTTTATAAACCTAATAAAGAGAATTTTAGGATGTGAAGTTATTTCAGTTAATTTTGGTTAAAATACAACACAAAAAAAAGTGAAGAAAATTTTAAGAATATTAACAGAATATTTATTCTAAACTCAGTATGCTTACATACACTTGAATTTGTATTTGCAATTTTTTAAATTTTTACTACATAATATTTGATCTATGTGATTAATAGAAAAGTACTGGGTTAAGTGCATTGACAAGAGAAAACATTATGTTGAAAAAATATTTGTTGTATAAAATAAATGTTTTCTTCATCATTAGGTTACTTATTGATATATTCATATTATTAGGTTAAATTATCTTCAATTTTTGTAGGTTTTCAAATGTCACCTCTATTAAATGAACTTATCCCTCTTGGGTAAGGTTATCATTTTCAAAACACTGTTTTTTAAATATGATACTAAATTTGTTCACAAAGATCAGTCAAGTCGAACCTTTTTATTATTTCTAACTATTCATTTATATCATTAGCTTAAACGGGATCATTGATATCTGAGTTTGTTTTTCAATCTTATCAGTAAATAATATTTTCTTGCACATCAACACATACTTGGAACATATCAATAATCATCCTTTTCATTTATCAAATAAAATCTTTTACATGTTGAAGATATAGAAAAGAAAACATTTTATTCTCTTTTCAGGAATTTCCAGTAACAATAAGAAGCATACATTCACTATGGAAACAACAAATAAAATGCAAATATTTACAAACAGATATGCAACAATTCCTATTATAAGCTGCTTCAGTAAAAGATGTAAAACTAAGTAAACAAAATTGCTATCTAATATTTTCTTTTTTGCTTCCAGAAAAATCTCTATAGAAATGTATTATTTTTAGATATAAATTTTGTGTGCATGCATGCCTGCCTTATGTTTGGATATGTCATGTTGTTCCTTTATCAATTTTATTTCAACTTTGTAAGGAGCCTGATAAAGAATAATTACTATTAAATATATAAATAGGATCATATACAGAGTCATACATACAAAGTATCTACATGCACCAAAGTACACAATGTATGTATGTCACCCACCTATTCAAATACATCAGGCAACAGTCATGATAAATATAGAAGAAAGGTTCATCTCTGCCTAAATCTTCTGCATTTCAAAATCATCTGTTTTTGAAGAACAAAGATAATGTGTGTTCATATACACACAAAATGTAGAGATCAGAAAAAGATATTTTCTCATGAATTAGCAGAAAGGCAGGAAAATAAAAAAAATGTCAATTCTTTTTAATATGCTAATGATTTAAAAGACCTATTTTGGAGGACTTGGTTAGTTTACCATATATTAACTTGCTATGAGTTATATAGAAATATATAAGATATAGTCAGAAGCTATACAACCTATGTATGAAGTTACATTCTTGTTGAGAATCATCTTAAAATATTTTCAGAAAGAAAAGCTATAAAAATGGAAGTATATATTCAGGTAGATAAAATTTTAGAATGAAAAAAAAAAAAGTGTCCAAATTTATCTGTACAGTATGTTTTAAGATTTTCTTTGTATCAATGACTGCAATGTATCATTATTATAATAACAGAATAAATAATGTTGTCTTTTCATAACAAATAAAGTAGAATTTCTTTGTTGACTTTCATTTTTAAATATAATCATTCCAATTATCGAGTTTTCTCTTCTTGAGTTAATTCAGTGTTTAATCTTAAATGAAGTCAAGATATTTTCTGTGTAGTGCTTGCAATTTTATATCATACATTTTCAGTGAATTCATTTAATCAAAATTCATATTGCAAGGTAAGTAAATGTGTACTTTGAAGATTAAAGAAAGGCATATACATTTTTGTAATTATCTTATTTATTGTAAACAAGTCCTGAAAAGTAGATCATAAATCAAAGGATGTGTAATAGCAAATATGCCTATAAAACTCCTGAAAAACTAAACTTTAAATTATCAAATAAAATTATAAATTAATAATGCATAAATTATTGGAACCAAATGAGTACAAAAGTTTTACAGTTTAAAATCCATAGAGCTGAGAACTTATAGAGCTGATTTACATTAAATAGAAAAAACTTTTTGTAGAACAAGAGCCTGAAATTTACTAAAGACAAAATATGAGAAATACAATAGTAAAACATTAAGTGAAAGAATCCAATGATAAGAAAGCAAATTTGAAGTAAATGATATAATGCAATAAACAACGAGAAAAAGTCATTAGATATGAAAGTATTCATCAGTATTCAACTGCTTCATTGACAAATAATCTAATTTTGAAACCAGCCTAAAAGATCAAAGGCAGCAAACCATTATCTATCTACCATATTACAATGGCAAGAATGCAAGAAAATCACTTCCTACATTCAGGAGGCAGAAATACTAAATAACAAAAGATTGAACATCATGATGCTTGTTGGAAACAAACAACTGGAAAACATGGAATGATATTATTAAGCAGTAAGAAAAGTTCAGAATAGAGATGACAAGATTTGCTCAAAATTCTTATTATACATGTAAATAAAAAGGCAAAAACTATTTCACAGACGAAAAATAGACAAAATATTTATATGTAGTTGGTAGGAGTAAATTTCCATGTTGGTCATGCTAAGTTTTAAGACATTGTTTATAATTTTGAAGAGAGACATTGTCATCATACAAATAGATTTTTCAGACAAATCTTTTTTTTGTGAATTTTAGTGCTTCCATGTTTTAGACAAGGGCTTCTTAAACTTTTTTCATTCATGACCCCATTTTTCATGACCCCAGGTATTAACCAACTACACTGAAAGTTTTATCAACGTAGTGCTTGCATGGCACATCATGTTAAATATTGTGAAATAATGTATAAACTGAAATTCAAGTGTTTGAATTTAATTTTTGTGACCCCAGCATTTCTCTTTGTGACCCCCAAATGGGATCACAATCCATAGTTTAAGAAGTGCTGCTTTAGCCAATCCAGGATACAACTTCAGATGTATACAGGAGTGATGAAAAGTTATTGAAAAACCAAGAAGGGAATTAAAAAAATATTCTGATCTTTGATCCTTTGCCCAGATTGTGGCTAAGAACTTTCAAGCATCCCTTCATAATATCCATATGAAAGGGATGAGCTCTTTCTTTCTTTAGTAGTGCAAAACAAAAAATGGTAGCAAACAAATAAATTAAACATTAACAATAAAACATGAAATTAAGTTATTCTATTTACAGATAAAAAAATATTCAGAATGATTTACAGAATCAAAATAACAACTAAGGTCAAGATGAAATAGAAATTTCCTTATTGTTTAATTTGTTAATGACTGATTAAAATCACATCTTAAAATCCATATTAATGTATAATAAATAATCTTGTGGCTTAAAAAAAGATCTATATACCAATGCAAAACATCTAGTATGAAAACAATAAGACCGAATACCAGATCATGTGTTCAATAAGAAAAGTATGTCGATAAAAAAACTTTTGACAAAGAAATATTCAAAAGTTTTAACTTAGAAGATTAGGCCTGTTATTAATGATAATAATTATAATAGTCATATCAACCACATAACAGCAACCACTACATTATAATATCTTTGTTACAGTTGGTGTATTTTTAAATTGCTTTATGCATCATAAATATTCATTAATAAAATAATTAGTTATTTTATAAATATAAGATCATTTTTTTTATATTGGAAAGGACTCTGAAGGAAAATATGCATGATAAAAATTCATGAATTGAACATTAGAAAGTTTAAAAGTAGTAACCATTTGACCTGACCACACTAGTTTTTTTTAATGGAATGAGTAATAACAACAATAATGATTACATTTGATTATATGCTTTTGAAATAGTAAATTCAGGTTTTAAATAGAGTTAAAAAAAATGAAATCATTATACAACTATTGAAAGGAAGAACTGCCGTCTATATGATATTATACATTAAAAAATATCATAAAAAAGTTCAGTGAAAGTAAAATTTACTGTACTGGATAGTGTTAAGATTATTCAACTAATAATCAAAATAAAATTAAGTATCAAGAGAAAATTATAAAATAAAATTAATTGGGCTTTTTAAGTTATGCAAAAAAAACAAACAACTAATAACATGAAAAAAAAATCAAGTAGTTAAAACTTGAATATTACAATGGGAACTTTAACAAGAGAACTGATCCATGACTAATTTATAGTTAAATATTAGAAAGATTCTTAACATCAGGTCAGAATGATTAAACATATCATAAAATTATAATACAAGTACAAAATTGTAAAGGAAATAAGATTTTGTCTATTTTTCAACTCTTCATCCAGACAGACGTCATGAATTGCATGCAACAGTGAAATACAGAAAAATAATGTACGAAGCAACTGGTATAATTCTATTGAAGTCAAAATGTCTGCTATGTTAATAGGAGACAAGAATGTATAACAACAGAATTCTCTGAAAGAGAAATACAATGTTGTCAGAATTTTCATGAGAGATTAAAAAAATAACTGAATTAAGTCAGTACTGAGTAGTATTATTAAGAATATTCTACTTCCATATATTTCATGTTTTTTTTTTTTTTAAAAAAAGAATGCTAATAAGTATTTTATCAAAGTAACTGAATAATGGTGAAAATTCCCAGGGCATCCATAACATAAATTCCAAATGTCATTACATTTGAAATTTATGTTATAAGCAAATTTGTTATCATTTATAAACAAATAGTTATAAAATTAACTATTTAAATTGTATTCTATCTAAATTGAAATCATTTCTGAAATGGAAGATTCTGACATACAAATCAGTAACATATTATTGTATCATGTCCATAGTAAGTTCAGGGCATGTTATTCTGCATTGTGAAGCTGTTCTGTCTGCTTGAGTTAAAAGAGAAGGTAATGGATAAAATTAAGTTTTAAAGGCAAAGTCAACAGACCCCACCCCAAAAGAAAACAGTTGGGTTTTTACAATGTTCATTTCTTTATTTCATTGGATGATTGTTTTGATTACAAAGGGCAATAGCCTTTACCTGAATACTTTGTTAGCAACTTTGAAGAAAATGTCAAATTTAACTATCATGATAAAAAGTCATAGGGAAATATCATTTAAAGTGTGAGCTGTTTGTTGTTAATATCAACCACATGATTTACTAGGAAGGTTATTTGGACAAGAAATGCAACAACACCAGTCTTCAGTTGACATTTATGGTAATTACAGGAAAAAGTTAACTTATTGTAAAAATCTTTATCCAGTTTATTATTTAAAAAGAATGTCTTTTTGTAAGATTCATTTAAATTTTCATTGATTTCTCTTCTTTTTTCTTATTTATACTAATTGTTTTTATTGATAAAATGTTCAATTATATAGATTTCTTACTGTCTTAATTAAATCTAGTATAATTATGGACTAAGAAAACTGATCTTCAACATGAACAATTCTAAGTTCAGAAAATATAATCAATCGTCTACTATTTACATTTTCACCAGTCACTAGATATTTAATTTTTTATGACTTCCAATAAACAAAGATAAAAATAATACTAAGACATTTAAGCAAACAAGTTCACTCAATTGTAATTTGTGGATAAACTAAAGAAATATTTTTTCATAACTGTAGAGAATAGAAAAACAAAGGAAGAGCTTTAATTTATTTAGAGAGGAAAAAAAAAGAAGCAACAAAAGTTCTATTACCTTTGTGAGGTCAATCTCATCTTGTAAGTTTTCAATGATCACATCACCAACTGGCTTCCACTTAGACTTTTCATCTTCAGATTCTTGAAGTTGTTCATCCAGGTAATCCATTGCTTCATGAAACACTGTCATCTTCTACATTGCAAAATAAATACATATCAAGTAAAAAGCCTGAATATATAATTGCATGCAGGGAAGCCAATTTTTACTTGTTCCACCAGAAATCAGAAGAATTGATAATCACTCATACAATCCAAATATCAACTCAAATTTAAAACCACATACAAATTTGAAAATTTTAACTTCATATTTTTAAAGTGCTTAGAAAATTTTCAGTAAATAATCTAAAAGTTATTTGATATTTTTAATACAAAACTAAGAGAAAATAATTTTAATTCAGTTATTCATGGGAAATAATAATATTAATAAGTTTTATATTTTACCTATAAAATATTTGTTAAAAAATACTTTGATATCAAACACATCTAATTTATGAATCATTAAAATTTCAAGACTGTGTTTACTGGTTGGTTCCGTGAGAAACTATATTAACATGAGATATACAATCAAAATTTTCATAAATTATTTTGAAAGAGATAATTTAAAAATTAATTTCCAAAAATGTACTGAAAAATTCTAAACAATCTTTCTAAATTAGAAATGACATGAAACTATTATTTTCTCTTATGTTTGTTTATTTGTGGGGAGTATTTTCTTTCCTTTGTTTTCATAAGGCCGTTTATATTCAACAACAAAAATCTGGTTTTTGTTTATAAACATATTTAATTGAGCATTTTTTAGAAGATTATTTTAAGCGTTGGTCAGGCTTAAAATATCCATCAGCCTTAAATCTTCTTATGCAAAGAGAAAAACTAACATAGATGATAAAATGATTATATATTTTTAAATATTAAATTTTAATATTTAAAATATATACCAAATGTAAAGGTATACCTAAATGATTAATATTTATCACAAAAAAAAGAAGTATAATTTATTCTTCCATTTAAGTTTAGCTTTCTGATTAACAAGATATTGGTAAGAAATCTATGAATGACTAAACTTAAATATATGAGTTAACTTTTTTTTTTTTTAAGTGAGTTTGTATAAAAAAAGTAAATCAATAAGTATCCAGTGTAATGATGAAAAATGAATTTATTTTATGCAACAAATATTTACATATTTATTTTAATTCAGAGGTGAATATTAATCAGAGACTGAATATCTTATAGTGAAGTTTTCACATAAAAATTCATCTAATAATGGTGGGTTATGGATTTACTGATACATCCTTATATATAACACATAAACACCTTAATAAATATATAGAGCCCAATTACACTTTATCTATATATTACAAAATATTTCAGTATAAAATATATATTATAAAACTGAAAGCTTTTTTTCTTCTAAATTTGCATAAAAATATCTCATTTTACTTGAATTTATTCAACTTCATAAAGCTATTCCTTTTCCTATTTTTGTTGTTGTTGTTGTTGCAAATAGTGATTGCCTGTGTGTGATGCAATAAGATCATAAATTTTATATTGATAAACAAGAAACAATCAATTGGTTAGATGCAGATTTTGAGATCAGGCATTTAAAAAAAAAAAACATTATGAAAATAATGCTATTTTTCTTGCATGAAAAAAATGTGAAAAAGTAGAATTTGTACTCAAACATTTTTTTTTTATACAGATCAATGTTATTTCCTTATGAAGAAAATCCAAGAAAGGATTCAAGATGTAACATCTGATATAATAATTACACCCATTTTCCAAAAAAGACAAGAACTTATAAATTCATCAACTGTACTTAGAAAACTTCCATTTATTACAAAAGTAAAGTTGCCTTCTAGATGATTTCTGATTGCAACAAAAGTTATACCTCCAGATATTTTATAAAAATAGTGATTAAAATCCCAATATTTTTCATCAATGCTTAAAAATTCCATTTCATATATGAAAATATAAAAAACTAATCTACTTCAAGCAGTAAATTGCATTGTTTTAGGTCACCTTGCCATGTATAATACCTTTTCATTTTTACTCTTGTAAGTTTTACTAATTTTAACAATTGTTTTTATTTCTGTTATCATTATTATGAAAGAAAATATCTTTTATTGTGAATTTATATATGTACATATCAAACATTAAATAAAACATGTGACAGCACTTATTTAAAATTAATCTGCAAAGATTTAAGTAGTTTTCAATATGGCTTAAATTACATTAAACAAAACATTCGTCTTTAAAACTGCTACGTCCCTCAGACACAAGCAATTCATGACTACCAATGATAAGACTATAATAGAGCTGTAAATTTTTTTAATAAAAGGTTTTTGTGATAATACATATTAATATATTGATATATACAGATGTAAGTCTCTTTACATTACATTTTTAGCAACAAAAAAAAAACAAAAACAGATTCTAAATGAAGCAATAAACATTTCTATAAAATGCTAAAAAATAAATCAATTCTTTAAAGTATTCAAAAAACTTGAAAATCACATTTTCATTTTTTTCAAAAATTCAAAAGCAAACTCATTTTTCTTTTAAAGACTTAGAAAAATATTTATAAAAATTAAAACCCTCTTCCAATACAAACACTATATTTTATTATAGGAGTTTATAAATGTGTCAGGTGGTAAAGGCAACTAAAAAAACTTTACACAAATTATCATTTGTCAACTTTAATATTGATCTCTAAATGTTGTGATTGTCCATATTGATTTTTTGAACATCACCATTCAGAACCCACTTTTTCACATACAGACACAATTGTTAAAACTACCAATGAAAAGACATTTTTATTTAGTTTTTGCATTTTTTAAATTAATGCATATCTAGAGACTAAAAATATTGATGGAAAATATGAGACAACAAATTTGTAATTTCTAATAAAAAGATAAAATAGAGATCAAATTAGGAAATGTAAAAAAACAATTGGAAAAATGAAGAAATTCAATAGAATCAGAACCAATTTCATAATTATGAATAAATCACAAGAGAAAATATCATAAAAATGAAAATGTGTTCATTTCATTGTAGATTATTTCATAGTTAAAGTTTATTTCCATGTATTCATGTACATTCCATTAAAAATAAGTCAGACTATTATGTCCCAATAGGTTTGAATACTTTATGTGAATGAAGAAAAAGTGGATGAAATACAACTAAAAAGTTATGAATCTTAAATGTAATATTTTGTTAAAAGTTAACATATTTTTTCCTGAAAAGAGAATTTGTTGTAAAGTTATCTTGACAAAACTCGCCTAATAATATTTTGTCATGTATTTGATTACACTTAACTTTTTTCTTAGGATGATAAAGTTAACATAATTTTAATTTTTTTTTTAAACAAATAGCAAGAATGTTTTTAAAAATGGACACACAAGTTCTTTGCATATCACCTGATAAAAATCACATTTAGATTGAGAACAAAAATCATGCTATGTATTTTGAGGTTTTTGGTTTTAATTTAATACAAACTATTCAGAGAAAAAAGGGAGAATACACTGAAATTGTTTGAATGTTTAAAAAGCCAATTATTGTCATGTGAGGCAGTGCTGACCAGAAACATCATGTGCTAGCCAACAACATTAAGAAACAGAAAAAGGAGATATAAAAAAAAAAACAAGATATGAAGTGTAATACTTTTTGTGTTGCTGACATCAAGCTAAAAGCTTCTTTGAAAGTGCCTCAGTAAGATAAATATTCTGTACAAAAATTTGTGCCTATGAAGTGAAAAAAGTGAGTAACAATAACATACACAAACCTAGTGGGATGGAGTTGGTGCCATGTATTCATGCTACTGCCACAGGTTTAGGATGGAATGAATTACCCTAACAGCAGTCAGTTGGTTTGTTCACTGGTTGAGAGAGAGAGAGGAAAACTGAGAGGCACCGAGGTAAGCTACAGTTATACTATGGATATATTCCATAGTAGAAGTGTTACCAAATATAAAGTCTATACTGGGAGCCTCATTGCTATAACAAACAAAATATTTTGGAGTGAAATTTATATGAAAAACCCATAAAAGGTCCATCTTTCAAAACTAGTTGAGATTAATTAGATATATCCAGATAATAAAACCAATGGCATGTCTGCTGTATACAGGACTTTAAGAGTTGGTGGAATTAACATTTGAGAATGTAAAGCTGAAAGGAGAAAGTAGTATTATTGTTGGATGACAGTGAGCTGTTTGTATGCTGACTATATGTGCTGGAATATCATAGCATGTCTATGGTTTCTCAGTAATGAGGTCTATACAAATTGGCAGGAAAAAAAGGCAGATAGACATCAGGTTGTAAAGTGAAAGACACTAATCCTTTGAATGAAACAGTCAATAAGAGATTGATAATCCTGACTTGTATCCACATTAATATTTTGGTAGACATACAGCTTACGACATTTAGAAATGAAGAGAAAGAATGTGTACGCCTATGACCACTAGCAGAATTTCTTTAGGTTACATGTATGAGGGAATGTCCAAAAGTATGTGAGTGTATATGTATCTACACTATATAAATAAACAATAGTGGAGGTCTCCATTACAGAAACAACAAGAATTGATATAAGTAGATCCCTAACCTTGCCTAATCAGGTTAGAAGAAAGAAATATGTTGCTTTTGTAAGCAAGCAGTCATATGAAAAATGGTTAAACTGATTCAAAGGAAAATATAGTAAAGTTAACAGAAGGCTCTCCTACAACAAACATGATAGAAGTGCAAAGACAAGAGAGAAATAAACATAGCACTTATTTGCTTTTGCTTTTTATCGACAAACATCAAATATTAAGAACTATTTATACTTATTTTCTAAACTGAACTTAAATGTACAAAAATGAAGAATATGAAAGGACAAGTTATTTAAAAATAACAGATTAGTTTAATACAATTAATTCAAAGACCAAATGATAAAAGTTTTACTTTGATGTCCTTCAATCATACAAAAGAGAACTTTGGGTAAAAATATCATGTCAATGGATATGGTTTGTAAAAGATGAATTGATTGAACACTCACAATTTGTATGTGCCTATGCAGTTGAAGAAATTTAAGGATATATAAAAAGTTAAGGCATATATTAATAAATGCATTGAAAACTTATTTTTAACAGGATACACACAGGCA